ATACAAAAAGCCAAAAAATAAGTTCATTTAATCAGAATATGCTAGCTAACTATATGAAAGTTTAACACTTTTATAACACCTACCTGAGAGAAGATAATCTTTGCCTGTTTCAAGCTGAATTCCGCAAGCGGATGACTGAACAGAAGTGTACACAGCACTCGGCAAAGTTTCATTAAAATCTTCAGACGCCCAAAATGAGTAAAATTTTTTTTTAAACAGGAATTCAAATAGCGAATTGAATCTAAGCTGCAGTTACTAATTTGTGGTCAAACAAAAAACACTTAACCCCTCACACACTTTTTATATAATATAACGTTAATAGCAGATAATATATTTAGAGCAATCTGAAAGTTTTATTGTGATAGATCTGACACTATCGTAACTGATTTAGACACAATGTATTTCCTGCTTGAAATAGCTTAAAATTCAAAAAAAACCTTGAATATTTCGATATGCTTGACATCGTATCGAAAATAATCTAAAGGCAAGGGTGGTTCAATTTCAGCGGTATTTACGGTGTTGACACGTTCAATTTGCGCGTGAGACACTAAAAAGTTTAAATCTTCTAAGAAACTCACTTTTTAAGGGAAAAAATAGGTCAGAACCTCTAATAAGAAAGAAAAGTTAAAAAAAAAGAGTGAAAATGAGCTATCAACAAATTCTGTAAATAAATTTTGACAGAGAATTTGCTATTTGGTTCCCTAAACCCGGTTATGAGTAGTTACCCAGTTCCAGGTGCAAAGTAAGAAGACTTCTCTAAAAAGGGAAAAAACTGACCCCAGCGTGCTCTACAGAAGGCTTGCTGGGCATTTACTAGTGCACAGGTGCAAGCGTCTGTATTCCGCAACAAAGTTGCAAATAGCACGAATGTGAGGGAAAGACCGGTATAATGGCACGTCATTGCTGCTTGTTCACGCTTGTTTCTTATTTTCTTTCGTCTTGTCCTGAGTACCTTCAAACGGTTATCAAGTTATGCTGTGCTTAGCGCTGAATAATTAACCAAAGAAATCGTTATTCACTAACGAATCAGACGATGAATCGTAAGTTGAAGAAGAGACAGAAGTTGGCGGAAGTTGAAGAACCAGGTTGGGGAAAAGAAAGCATATGTGAAGATGGGGAAGAAAAGGAAAAGAGGTTTGAGAAGGATGTGATTAAAAGTGGAAAACAAGAAAAGGCAAAAAATAAACAAAAAATAAACAGTATAAAAGGCTAAAAGAAGCGACAACAGGTGTGTCTGAGCGAAACAGAAGGAAAAGTAAAGTTAGAATAATTTAGCAGCACTTTTATTTTACTATTTTTTATATTGTCAATATTTCCATTACTTTTTGTTATCAGTTTACAATTCTAATATTTCAGATACAAACTAAGCCAAAATCGCCGTGAGCGCCTACAAATGCGTCATAAAAGACGAGCAGTCGATATTCTTGTATGAGGGAAATGAGGTAAAGGTTGGCAGTATTATACAACAGAGAAATTAGCAGTGAAAAATAATAAGAGTAAAATATGCTGACAAGATTACACTCAAAACAGTCAAATGTTTTTCTTAATATGTTAACTAATCTCTATTGTCACTTCTTTTGTCAAAATAATGTTGGCAAAATACATGATAAAAGGATTAAACATTTTTGGCAACTTCAGCAACTTTTCTACCATATTTCTTTTTCTCATTTTATGTTACCTTGTCATTACCAATTCAGAGTAGAGTAAACAGTATTTGGCGAACTAAAAAAAAACAGGTATTTCTTATTTTATTTGTTTTAATTGATGAAAAATTTTCTATATTTTACTTTCACATATATTTCAAACTAAGTGGTAATTGGAAACGTATAAAAATCTGAAAAATTTTGTTTTTTACTCGGCAAAAATCTTGCTACAAGCATTAAAATAAATGTTCAGAATCAACTGTTAACATAGAAATCTATCTGTGCTAAAACTTATGCTTTTAGTTAAAAACAAAAAAATTAAAACCTTTGAAATTTTTTAGCGTTTTTTTAGTTAACAGTAATTATTAACTGTTGCTATACAGAAATGAAAAAAAAAAAAAGAACAAAACAAACCATCATCAGAAATTGAAGTGGTTTGGAATTGAAAACTGTAACAGAAAATGAAAAATAAGTTTCATCGTTTTTTAGTTTAGCGATGGTGTAACTAACCATCGAATAATTGCGAAAAATAAATTTTGACAACCGCGCTGTTCAGATGAGCCAAAAAAAAGAGCTTTTCAGACACAGTGTTTTTGGATATCTGTAGACGAGAGTAGATGCTGCGAAGCATAAAGGTCAAAACTGTAGTCTTACCTAAGAATGACAGGGTAAAGGAAGAGATGAAATGACAAAGTGACTAACCAGTTTACACTTTACAATATGTTTACTTTCGTCTTTCTTTGCTATGAAAAGTAATTGAGAAAAAGAGAAAAACCAGATAGAACAAAAAAAAAAAAATGCTTTACAAAAACAGATTTTCAGCAAAAAAATTTATCATGTTTTCAGCAGTAATTTTGCGCACTTTTTTTGCATTTTCATTTTTTAGCTTCTTCTACATTTTAAACATTGAATTTGATTGTAATTGTCTGAATTTAATACGTTATTGTTAATCATTTACTTTTTGGAAATTTTTTTTTGTAGTGTAACAAAAAAAAAAAAAAAATTCAAAGGTTAATACTGATATTTCTTTTTGTAATATAAGCGACTGTTTTTCTCGCACTTTTTTATTGCACAAAAACAGTGTTGATTACAAAAAGTTTTTTGATAGATGAAGAAATTAAATATTGTATTTAACCGGTTAAAAAAATTTTATATAAACAATTATTTGCACTTTTGTTTCTTGGTAAAATACAGATATGTTTAGCACTTTTCATGTTTAAACTTAAAACAAAAGCAAGTTTTTTTAGTTTGAATAGATTATAAATATAATCGTTACTGTATCAGTTATTTAAATTTTTTATTCTTTTGCTTTTTTTTTTTTTGCGTTATTTTTTGACTATAGAATACTGGCGTTTAAATGTAAAAAAAAAATTATAAATTAATAAACAAATTTTAGTTTAAAAATGATACGATTAAATTTTTTAAACTTTATTTTTTTGCTCTCAACCGATTAATAGCTATAGTTTAACAATTGACAGTTTAGCGGCAAGGTGTTATTTGAAAATTTGTAATACTAAAGAAAAGACTATAGGCTAAAATAACTTTTTTACCTGAAAAGTATTAACTAATCTTTAAAAAATTCTAAACATATCAAATTGAACAAACTTTTTGCATTTTAAATCAAATATTTCGTTGCATTCAAAGTTATAAACTGGTTCTAAATTTTGCAATTAAAATTACCTACCCGTTCTTTTTTTAATTGATGACTCAGATTTTATATAGACTTTTACAAACTATACACTAATACAAAAAAAAAAAAAAGATTTCTGAAAACAATGGTTTTAAAACCAATACTGTCATTTAAAGCAAACTTTTTTTTTTTTTTTTTGCTACATCTAAAGCGAACCTGATGATAAAAACGGTACGGTACATCTATCAAGACAAAAAACAGCAGTTCAGAAATATTTTTTTTGAATTTTAGATGTACTCTACCGCTATCAATTTTAGTGAAAAGTGTAGAAAAATTATTAAGTTTTTCAGCTTGCTAAAAAAAGAAATTGCTATACCTTCAAAACAACGATTAAAAAAACAAATAAACAAATATTCATGATTAGTGTGCTACAAACATATATCCATAAACAGTTTATATTCCAATTTTTTTTTCGTTTATATATAAACATATATAAACATCTATTTTATTTTAGCTGCAGATTTCACCAACTGTTTTTTAGCATAACTGAAAACGACGTCATACCACTGTGATGATAATGCAATTTTCGGGTATCAGTTAATCAATCAAATAAAGTTTCCCATTATTATAGAGCAAAAATAAAGTCTTACGCCTTGAAGAATAAATAAAAAATTGCTTATTTAGAAAGTCTAGAAATTATCAGTATTATGTGATAAAATGATGTACTTTAGTAAACAACATAGTTCAGTCTACAGCTAAAACGATCTACAATGGACGTATCGGCTTGTGGTTCACAGTCATTCATTGTTTGGATTTGGCAACTGTTAGTTTGATTTACTATTCATTTTCTGTTCTCTGTCTATATACATCTGTAAGTTTGAAGTATGAATATGAGTAAGATAAGATAACTTTTACATAATTTAGTCTACACTTATAATTAAAAAAAGATAACCAACTTTCCTTAATACTATAAAGTACAGCTTCTAATTATTTTGTTTTGACGAGCACTTGACAGAAATTTTTTTTAGCTTACGACCATTTGTAATCGTTCTTTCTATTCTTACGGTTAATTTAAATGGAAGAAGTCAACGCTGTTCTTACAGATGTAATTAAAGCAACCGAAGGTGTGCATTGTTTTGACAAAAAAAAATCTGTTAGCTAAATTTTTTATATTAATAAATTTGTAAATGTTATTAGAAAAGTTGTGCAAAATTTTAAAATAAAACATGCTTGCTTTCAATTTATGATAATTTTTGGAGTTATTATTAGGTTTCTTCGAGGAACGTTCATTTCTTTTAAAGTCCTGGAAAACACTTAGTGCTGAAGAACGCCGACGTTTTGTGGAGCAGTGTAAAAGTTTTCAAGTTGATTCCGCCATATCTGCTTTTGAAAATTCCATTACAAATCAGGTAAATTTTTAATTATTGAAAAAAAATTTTTTTTTCTTGTAAATTATACTTAATCAATTAACAGAAATGAAATAAGTGTTGTAGAACCAAAAATTTTTTTAAAATAATATTACTAACTTATGCAGCGCGCTTCGTTAGATTTAACGTGTACTCAAACATCAAATTAGATCGTTTTTTAGGGTTTTGTAAATCTTAGACCTATTCCAGTTGATCGCCACATTGTATCTTATAAACTGCCTGCTGAAGAGCTTGAGAAGTATTGGGAAAAAGGTAAAGAGCTTTAGGTTTAAGCATTTTTTTCTTGTGAACGATAACAGTAGTCGGGTAAAAATAGTATGAGATATTTCTTGATTGTATTCACCGTTAGTATAAAGTAGACGATTGAGGAACTGCTAACTAGGTTTGAAAGCCATTGCTTTTGGTGAGGTGGCTGCTCTTGTACTCGCTGGCGGCCAGGCAACTCGACTGGGTGCTTCTCAGCCTAAGGGTGTTCTTTCGTTGGGAATCGACACTGAGTGCGACACCCTTTTTGCACTGCAAGCTTGTCGAATTTCTCGTCTTCAAAATCTTGCTCTGCAGAAGTATCCAGGATCATCGCCTATTATTCCATGGTATTTCTAACAAACTACTTTTTTTTGTTTTCAAAAGTCGATTTTTAAGTAAGTTTTGAATAAAGAACCTCATATTACATTTTTGGCATAACCGTATAAAGAATCCAGTTGAAAATCGTGTTTTTTTACGATATATTATATATGTGAGTCAACTAAGAGCTTTAGGTATGTAATGACAAGTGCTTCTACATACGACGACACCTGGTCTTATTTGGAGAAGAATGTTTCAAAATTTGGAATATCACTAAAGAATGTTCACATATTTATGCAGAATCAGATGCCTTGTTTTGACAAAAACGGAAACTTTATACTTGCAGACAAAGCCAAATTAGCGATGGCGCCGAGTATGCCAGATTAATTTCATCCTGAAAACTTTTTTTAATACTTCTTTTCTTCTTACTTTTTGCTGTTGACGATCTTCCAACCGCTAAGATTTCTATAACGACATGTACATTATTAGACGGAAACGGCGGTTTGTATGCAGCATTAGCTCCTTATATGGAATCGATGAAAAGCAATGGTATCAAGTATGTTCACGTTTATTGCGTTGACAATATTCTCTGCAGAGTCGCTGACCCGTATTATATTGGTTTCTGCATAGAAAAAAATGCAGATTGTGCTGCAAAGGTGAGGAAGCATTTAAGCAAACTCAAAAATGAGTCAAGAAAATATCAGTATCGGCTTCGTAATCAGTAGTTAATAAATTTTTATTGACATCTACTCTAACTATTTTTTTAATTGGTTACTGAGACTTGTCTGTTTCACTTGATTAATAGATTAGCAAAATAACCGATAGATATCTTATCAATTTAACTATTTGCATCTATATTTCTTTTAGTTTATATTAAAACTACTTGGCGTTTTTTGGTACAGATTTTCTATGGTATATGAGAAGAAGTCGACATTTAGGTTGTCGAGAAAGTTGACCCTGATGAATCTGTAGGCGTTTTTTGTCTCGAAGACAAAAAAGTACGTTTAGCTGAGTACAGCGAAATTCAAAAAGAATATGCTTGTAGAAAGACCGCTGATGGTCGTCTAGAATTCTGTGCCGGCAACATAGCTAACCATATGTTCTCAATAAACTTTCTTGAAAAAGGTTTCTTTAGACTTTTCCAATGTCAACCAAGCTTAATTTTTTTGTATGTTATTATACAGTACTTAGACTATAAAAACAAGTGGCTCAAAGTCTGTGGTGTAGATAAAAACAGAACGTTTCTTACTGTGACTTAGATACTTTAAGAAGGTTTTGTTCACTGCTGTCTGTCACGTAATATTCCAGTAGAAATAGAAAACGAGAATAAATATTGTATTAAAAACTGTAATAAATTAGTTTTCTAACAACTTTTACCGGTTCTCATAGGTTTCAATACATTGCTTTAGTGTGCTCTAGCAATTTTTGCCTTCCATATCACAGGGCGTTGAAAAAGATACCATACTACGATGGAGAAAAAATTGTGAAGCCGTCTTCACCGAACGGCTTTAAACTAGAATTGTTCTTAACTGATGTCCTGGAATATTCAAAGTAATATCATTTTTTTAATGTTACTTTCAATTTAAAAACTACATTTGTAATCTTAAAAAATTGGTGCTGAACTTGTATGCGTGTCATTTTCATGTTTGTGAAATGTATGTAACAGGAAAAATTTTATCCAAAGCTTATTGTAATTTTTTTTTTTACTTTTTACCTCTCTTCATCACAATTAAATTAATTAAATTTATAGTAACTTTTATTTATGGGAGGTTTCTCGTCACAAAGAGTTCAGTCCGCTGAAGAATGCCGAAGTTGCTAAAAAAGACTGTTTGAGCACCTGTCTGCAAGACCTGCGAGCTGAGCAGAAGCGTTGGCTAAGCGCAAAAGGTGTGGAAATCAGCGAACATTCGCGGATATTTATTTCACCGTTAGATTCTTATATGGGAGAGGTACAAGAATATCTCTGTTTTTTTCAATTTTCACAATTCTGTTTTTTTATAGAGTGTAAGTCACAAAAATACTCTCAATTTTTTGAAAAAATTGTCGCGTATGATTTACGAAGGTCAAGTATATTGAACTGGAGTTCATTAAAGCTGCTTTTTCAGGGACTGCAAAAACTACCTGAAAGAGAGATCTGAAATGTAGGACCATGTTCAGTACAGCACTGGCTAATCTTAAATAGATTTGGAAAGAATGTGGGTTTTAGCGCTGGCTATTTAGAGTCTTGAAGAAGCATTGTGAGCAGCTTATGTTTTTTTTTAGTAGTGTGATCAAACGACTAGCTACTGCGGTGAACGACATTTGCATAAGGTCATGATTTTAGAGCTGTACAAATATATTTGTTTAGCGTGTTTGTAAACTTGGAGTTTATTTGTAATAAATTTAAATTATAAGATTCCTTTACTATGCACGTTCAACTAGCTATCCGCAAACGCTTTTTAAGTTCTCTAGCTCCACACCAGAAGCTCTCTTTAGAGTTTTTAGAAGGATTAAAATCAAGCCAACCGATCGCTGAGACCAATTTTGGAATTACTATATTATTTTTGCTTTTTTTTTAAAACAACTATCGATCATTAAAATAGATAAGCGAATATGACTGCAGATATCCAAAACGGTTTACTATGACAAATCCTAAAATTTTATCCAGCTATAATGACAGCTTTTCCCAACCACCGACAAAACTTAAAGTTCAAAAAGTGTGGGTATAAGGTCAGCTTAATTCTCCTCATATAAACTGGTCGGGGCAACCACCAACAACAGTTCCACTGAGAAGCATGCTAATGTTAGTTATTTGTATTTTTATAAGCACAGTATCTGAGATATCAAGCTGTGTCACTCCTCCAACAAAACTCAGTAAAATATTAGTGAGAAAAAGGTTATTGTATTGGGAACAAGAAAATTTTAAACTTTTAGGATTTTCTTTCTGTCTCTTACCTTAAGATTTCTTGAAAAATAGGAAATTTTTGAACATTCTGGTGTAAAAAACAGTGATTATAGATTGGCTTTTCTACAGAAATTTATTAGAAAGAATCAAATGCCAATTCCAAGAAATTCTGTTCATTAAAAATTCTAACTTTTGAAAGCGTTGATGTATCAAAAAACAGAAATTAACAGAACACATAAGGATATAATTTTACCGAGAATTGCTAAAAGAACAACAAAAAAGAGAGGAGCTTTGAAACAACCCTCAAGATAAAGAATTCGATCTTCACGACAAAAATTTGGCATCTGTTACACTCGATTTGGCAAAGAACAACCCCAAGTGTCAGACTCGCTATAACTTCCTTCCCCATAGTAGCCGTCATAACTCAATTGTTCGGAACTATAGTGTATCCTGTTATATGGCGTCTCACCCACTTCCGTCCAATTTTCTTGAGAAACACCAGCCCATCGGAAGCCAAATACAAAGCTAAGGGGTGTAACAGTAATGCAGAAATCATTAACAGCTAAGAGATGCTTAGAAAACCTTGAGTTTTTTTCAAGTTTAGGAGCGTAAAAGTGAAATAAATTTATTGGGGCACAGTTGCCTTTTACCTTTTTTTAAAAGCTCTTGGTACATCTTCTGTTCGCCAAAGTGGCCGACAATTATTTTCCGTCTAAGATATAATTAATAAGTTCTGAAAAGTAAAGAAGATTTTTATATTGTATGGTAGTATACTGGAAACTTTTTAAAGTGCCTTTACCTTAAAAAATATTTCAACTACAGCAAAACTGCTTGTTCAATATTTGCAGTTATAATAGTTATACTTTAGAAAAACACTAAACAGTTTCTTTACAAAATATAGACCCATATCAAAATTCTTTTACACTTACGAGTCATTTTACCTCTTTTAAAAAACTCAATTAAAAGAGCGAGATCACTTGAGGCGGACCAAAGTGATGTGTTGAAAGTACGCTTCTGTAATTGGCGAAAAGAGACTTTTGAAGAGGTATTGAAAAATTGCTCCCGGAATCGCGACGATCAATCTGTAACAATATCTGACGTACCAGCATCATCAACAATTTATTTTTGAGGTACACTTACAAGCACTTAAGAATTTTAAAACAAAAGTACTTTATGATTTTCCCTTCAAATAGTAAAGAAAGTGAATATCTCTTTGACAGTTAACTGTATCCTGATTCTAGTAAGGTATCTAATATCATTGAAAGCTAAATAAACCTCTTGGGAACAGTTGCTCCTCACACACTTTTGAAGAGCACTAACAAGTAGCTGACCATGACAGAGTCTTTGCACAATGCACACTTCCTTCTAATCAAGAACGTTCTAAAAATTCAAAAACTTTTGGAATTTTTAATTTTCTGTTCCACCCCTTTCACAATCACAAACATCACAAATGCATTAGAGGGCAAGCACTCGCATTTTTCCTTATTTAGCGCATATAATAAGGTTATGCGTTTAAATTTGAGGCTAAAACGTTTGTGTTATACACACTATATGTAATCATAAGTTTACTTTTTTTGAGCAGCATTAAGCAAAAACCTTGATTTAAATGTAACATTTTCGCAATTGCCCAGGAAGTTTGCTACAAAAGATCTTTATAAAGGAATGCCATGGATGTGTTTTACGCGGCAGTATGCAACACCAGCTCCACAGTTACTCTTGCAGTTCATAGCCAATATATTTCGCTTGGAAATCTGGTGAAAATGTTATAGATTAGTAAATATGTTATGCCGCACAATAAAAAAAACAGAATGTAAAAGTTTATTCTTTAAGCCAGCAAACTGTGAACTACCTTTTCATTTCCAAAAAACCAGCGATCATCTCTACTCAAACCAATGAATTTGGTGAATCACACATTATAAAATGAAGGAAATGTGAAACATCCGATCCAAAGAAAGATCAAACAAATTTTTAATTACATTCCACGGTACTTCTCTTCTTTTCCTGTTGATAAACAGGATGCTTTGAAAATTCAGACTCCTCTGCTTTTAATAGCCAAAAGCGACTGCTCAGAAGTGATGTACAATCCCAAAACAAATTTTCCTTTTCCCGGTACTTTTCTTTATTAGGAAATTTTTTCTGAAACAATCTTCTTAAATACTATTAAGTACTGATTACTGTCCTTCACAACTTTCCAAAAAATTTTTTAATTCCCTATGCCCGACCAAAATCCTTGCTGAAATTTATATTTCAAAATACTTTGAAACTTATGCTTTTTACTACAGACAGTCCGATTTTTTAAAGTATATCCATCATATTCAGTGTTACTTCAACATGTCTCAATGCACAAATTCTAAAGAACGTTGGCAGAACAGTGTTAATCAAATTTCGGTTAATTTATCACTGTTCAAGGTGAGGTTTGAAAGGGAGGTAATGAGCTGCATTTAACAAAGTTCCTCTTGGTTACCCAGGCGTATACGATATCTGATTCAACTTTTCCGCTACTTTTTGTTCCTAACCGTAGAAGACGAATAGGCAGACAGAGAAAAATGAGAGAGCAACGGAAAAAGGGCGGAAAGAACAATAAAATTTCCACTCTGTGTATTGAAATTGCTCCTTAACCTCAACAAACAACCTCAACTTCACAGAAGAAATAAGCATTAACGAAATACCTTGTGCAGCAGACGACGCTAGTCAGTAAAATCCGGAAAAAGTATTTTTTTGCATCTGCCGTGCAGTTTCCAACTTAAAAACGGATACCTACTTTCTAACTGACTTTCTGATCCCTTAGTTGTATTTATGACCATGGACATCAAGGAGTTTCTCTGCAGTAATTTCTACAACTGATGGTTCTAAATACAGGTTTTCAAGAAAAACGAGTAAACAACACCCTCTTCTCTTCATGGAGCTCAAGTGATGATTTCTGGACTCTTAAAAGTTTATTGGGAATAACTCCTGACGGATTCGATACAACGGCCTAGACAGCAGTCAATTAAACCTTGAAAATCCAAACTTACAAAACTGTCTCTTCTTTTCTCTCTGCACCTAGAACATACTCATGTCTCATCCATCTCATTAGAACCTCCCAAGTGAAGAGAAAAAATTGGTTAAAACGCTACCCATTTTCACATACGTATACCGGGAAAATAAAGCCTGAGCAATTTTACCGTGGAATTTTGCCAAAAACTATAAGTCTTTGTCGCGAAACCGACTGTGGTTCGAGACGACATATATAAATGATAAAACTTGATTTTCTTTTTTAAACTGTTGTGCAGTTCGCGGTGGAGAAAGTATGTTGGTGCTGTTGAAGTATACAGCTGCTCACGTCCTTCATGGTTCCATTAAGGTGCTTTTGGTCAGTTACGTAATTACAAAGCCTGATCCTCATATGCTGTGCTTAAATGAGTCTTATCACAAAACTGTGGTGTTGTTTGGAACCGTGATTATCAGTTTCAGAGATGAACGGCTGGGTTAGACGGTGGTAATATGGTTGGCGAAATAATCGTGGTACCCACTCTGACGGTGGTCCGATCAAACGACCCCCGGGCTTTGGAGGATGCTAAACGATACGCTAAAGAAGGGTCTGGTACTTATTTGTATTGTGACAAGGTACGTGTACTTTTAAAAGATTAAGTAAGATAGAAGTAGGATGAGCCGGGATAGCGAATAAGGTACTAATAGTGATGTGTCACTGTTATTATTTAGAGCAATTCAAAGTTTGTCATGTATAAAATATTTCCGAAGGCTGGTGGCAGCTTGAAATTGTCGGACACTACTTATGTTAATAATGGTTATACTTATGAGAGGCCTAAAGTTCGGTTGTTAATTGTAGTTCCGAGCGATGTTGACGAGTCTGCGATGTAAGCACTTTTATGCTAGAAGCAGCTTTTTCAGCCAAAAACTAAGAAATTTTTGAGTACTCTAGCATTTCCAGTAAGTGGCTGTTTTAAGCATGTCATCAGATATTCAAGCCATTAAAATTGCTGCACTTGTGTCACAGGCAGCCATAGCGGTGGAAATGCTGCGATTTAAAAGAGGACTGAAGCGTCCAGATCGAGGGTCCACTGCATCATTTGAAATTGATTATGGATGGCAGGCTGTATCTGTAGGTAAGAAGATACTCGTTTTCAAGGTTTCTCACTGACTCACATCATTTATTTTTGTAAGAGTGCTTCTGTTCAGTTGTTAACTACTGTAATGTAAGTAAGCATCAACGTATTGAATAGCAGGAGTTGCTCGACTTTTATTTCTTTAGTTCTTTAGGAGTTCCTAATGAAATGCGAACGTATTCTGGGGGAGCGGTTATATATTTATCGGGTTAGCTTTGTATGCATATATTCTCTGCTGCCTTTTTGTTCCTTCTTCTGTTATAACATTCACATAGTTGCATTTGAAATTTTTCAGGCCCCATAACCGATGAGCTAGACTCCAGGCTGCCACCGCATGCGTTTCTTAAGGTGAATAAGTCTTTTTGTGAACTAAGTGCTGATCGACATATTGCCCGATATGTGAGTCAGTGTCTGAAAATGCTGGGAGTTCGAGATGTTGACTTTATTCGATATTTATCCTTTGTCTTACCTTATGTATCTGACCCTTATGAAAAGGTGTTTTATCCATTGGTGTTTTGGCTATCTTATTTTTGAGTGTAGTTTTCCCCATGATAATCCTTTTATTTTAGGAGTGTTTTGAAACGTTTCTTGATGTGTCTTTAATTAAATCAAACGCTATACACTTTCTTCCACGGTCCATATCGGAATTATATTCTACTTTTAATTCTACCGAGATTTTCGAAGAGTGTCAATCTAGATCTGTCCCGCGATTTGTGAAAAAGGTTTTTTTGGTGTCTTAGTGTGGTTAAATCTTTCTTCCCGCTGTAATTTTTCCTTTCTGACGTTTAACCTTAGGAGGAAGATGGGTCTCTCAAAGTTGCCCACACAGTTGGAGGAGTTGTTGCAAGTTTTTATGGTGCTGTCTTACACGAGATAGGTCACCTTTTCAAAATACCACACACCAAAAGCGGCGTGATGGCTTTCGGTTGGTCATCCTTTCAGATTGTTAAACTTGGGCAAACGAAGAGACCATTTTGATCACAATGAAAACTGCTCTAAGGACTTCGTGTATTCCTTGATTTGGTGTTTGTTTATTGGTACAAACCTCTCTATGGCTTTGTGAAGGTCTATGAAATATATGCTTTTTTTCCTCATTGCAATTGCTTTTTATATCTTAGGAGGCGACAATATACAAAAGATTTTTGTGCTTCATTCGCTAACGAACCTCGCGCTTCTGAAGAAAGGAAGCGTTCCTAGAACTGATTATAAGGTCAGTAAAAGACGTTAGTTTTTTAATTAGTTTTTCCGCAGATGCTTTTTATACACAGGCTAGAGCCGATTGGAGCTTTTTATCGTCATCATTTCTTCTTGTAAACCCTTTTATCTAAATTAGTTGCATTTTTTTAGACAACGACTGTCTTGGTCAACAAGGACTATGAAATGGCAGCGAAGGAAGTATCAGAAAGTTTGTTTGATTCACTCTCATTACACTTAATGTATTATTCTAATTTTGTTAACTGGGGTGGGAAGAACATTTTTATTCCTATAAATGTTGACTTTCGTAACCGAACTGCTTCTTCTGCAGCTGGAATTGCTTTCATAGTTTGTAATGAGAATTCTGAGAATAGTCCTCTTGTCCATGCAACAGAATTTGATCATAAAAAATCGGTCAATTTTGGATTATATAAGGAAAAAAAGCGAATACTTATTGTTGCATCAGACGGGAACTTCTTAGCTGTAGTAGCATGAGGCTAAGGTGATTATACGGCTTGAATGGTAGCTTAATAAGTGTATTATCAGTAAAGTGAACGTGAATTAAATATATTGGGCTATTCGCTGCAGCAGAAGATTGTAGTCGTTGTTTTTTGATTTTTCGAGATGTGCAGCAGTTGCTAATTGATAGGCTCTTGACTGAAATAATGCTATAAATTTCTCGGTGGAGTTGCAGACTTTAACTAACTCGACGGATTGTAAATCTAGTTGCAGATGTTAAGTCTACTATAAAAAGTTATTTTCGTTTGAGTAGCGGCTAAAGTTTAACTTTGCAGACGTCTGGCGCGTTGTTGTTTTTCTATATTAGAAAATATTCCTTACGTCACAATGGTTTTGTATATTTTCCTGTTTTGGCATTGAATAA